AGTGTCACCCTGTTATATCCCGAAGAAGTTCCTTGAGGCCTTTGATCAGAATGCCAGAATAGGGGTCTTGGATAATTTTCTTCACTACTATATCCCTAGGCCTAGCACAGAGCCTAGTAATAATAATGGCACTTTGCCGGGCGCAGTGGCTCATGCCGGTAATCCTAGCGCTCTGGGAGGCTGAGGTGGGCGGATCGTTTGAGCTCAGGAGTTTGAGACCAGCCTGGACAAGAGCGAGACCCCATCTCTACTATAAATAGAAAGACATTAGCCAAACAACTAAAAAATATAGAAAAAATTAGCCGGGCATAGTGGCACATGCCTATAGTCCCAGCTCCTTGGGAGGCTGAGATAGGAGGATTGCTTGAGCTCAGGAGTTTGAGGTTGCTGTGAGCCAGGCTGACGCCACGGCACTCTAGCCTGTACAACAGAGTGAGACTCTGTCTCAAATAATAATAATAGGCCAGGCGAGGTGGCTCACACCTGTAATCCTAGCACTCTGGGAGGCTGAGGCAGGCGGATTGCTCGAGGTCAGGAGTTCAAAACCAGCCTGAGCAAGGGCGAGACCCCGTCTCTGCAATAAATAGAAATTAATTGGCCAACTAATATATATATATAAATTTATATATATATATAAAAATTAGCTGGGCATGGTGGCGCATGCCTGTAGTCCCAGCTACTTGGGAGGCTGAGGCAGTAGTATCGCTTGAGCCCAGGAGTTTGAGGTTGCTGTGAGCTAGGCTAACGCCACAGCACTCACTCTAGCCTGGGCAACAAAGTGAGACTCTGTCTCAAAAAAAAATAAATAATAATAATTGAGTGCACAGACACTCAATAAATGGATAAATAATGCTGAGCTCATGGTCATACAGGAAAATACTGTTAAATTTTGATTATCTTAGTTCATCAAAGCTCATCTCTGATAAAAATCATTTTAGGGCCAGGCGGGGTGGCTCAACCTGTAATCCCAGCACTCTGGGAGGCCAAGGCGGGTAGATTGCTCAAGGTCAGGAGTTCAAAACCACTCTGAGCAAGAGCGAGACCCCGTCTCTACTATAAATAGAAAGAAATTAATTGGCCAACTAATATACAGAAAAAATTAGCCGGGCATGGTGGCGCATGCCTGTAGTCCCAGCTACTCATGAGGCTGAGGCAGGAGGATTGCTTGACCCCAAGAGTTTGAGGTTGCTGTGAGCTAAGCTGACGCCACGGAACTCACTGTAGCCTGGGCAACAAAGTGAGACTCTGTCTCAAAAAAAAAAATCATTTTAATTTCTTGATATATGCAATAGTTTTTTCCATTAATCTCTTTTTCTTTATCTTCTAGAGCAATAGTTCCCAATCTGGGAGCAAAACATGTGAAACAGTTTCTTATTTAAAGAACTGTGATCATTTCATTAAAGAGGGGACCTTTTTTTTTTTTTTCTTTTTACGTGCAAGAAGTAGGAAAGATAATCTTAAAGGACTATCCTTTATTAAACATATGTGGCTTTATTTAAAACAAAACCCAGCTCGCTCTATTGTCTTTGTTTTTCTTATATCAGCTGCCAGACAGGCTTTTGGGGGCACAGCTGTAGAGCTCAACAGGGCAATGTCCACAAAGAAGGTCAGGTACCAGAGACAACTTGAAGGGTGGCACTTACCTCTGGATGGACTCTATCTCTTTTGCCAAGACTTCCTTCAAATTTAAGAAAGATTTTGTGTCATTTATAAATAGCCATACAGCTTTTTTTTGTCAGTTTCATAACTTTATTTGATGTATTTAACAATCAGCAGTTCTTATCCACATTGTAGATTTTCGAAAGTGGTAACAAACATGTAGGTGATCGAAGTATATAATAGAAGTTATTTGGTCAGTTTTCATCCTCATTTAATTTTTTGGACAACCGCACACAGATATGGTATAGGTCATTCCTTATTCCTGTGGCTCAGACAACTTTGCCAAGCCTGGTATGAATGTGCACATCTGGAATCCCCATCTGCTTCATGGCAAATTTCTTGATCTCTTTGAATTCCTGAGGGCCATGCTTCTTTTATTTTTTTTTTATGTTCTTTTTTTTTTTTTTTTTTTGCGTGGAGGCATGCTTCTTGAAAGCCCACTCCATGGATACACTTGTGAATGTTAATGGTGTATTCTTGGGTCACCACCCATTTATGGCAGAACAGCCCTTCTCACCACCCTTCTTCGTTGGAGCCATTCTGCCCAGCCCAGGTTGGAAAGGTAGGCCACAGAGCTTTTCTTTTAATACAAAGTCCCACTGTATTGCCCAGAGTAGAGGGCAGTGGTGTGATTGTACTTCACAGAACATCACACTCCTGGGCTCCAGCAATCCTCCTGCCTCAGCCTCCCGGGTAGCTAGAACTACAGGCACGCACCACCACATCCAGCTAATTTTTTTCTATTTTTTTTGTAGAGACGATGTCTTCCTCTTGCTCAGGCTGGTCTGGAACCCTGCTCTCAAGCAATCCTCCCACCTCAGCCTCCCAGAGTGCTAGAATTACAGGCATGAGCCACTGTACCTGGCCTCTTACAGTTTTTATGACTGATTATGAGCCTAGCCCAGCAGGTACCTCAGTAATGCTCAAAAGTGCTTGTTGAGGCCAGGCATGGTGGTTCACGCCTGTAATCCTAGCACTCTGGGAGGCTGAGGCGGGCGGATCATTTGAGTTCAGGAGTTCCAGACCAGCCTGAGCAAGAGCAAGACCCTGTCTCTACTAAAAAATAGAAAGAAAATTAGTCAGACAACTAAAAATATATAGAAAAAATTAGCCAGGCATGGTGGCGCATGCCTATAGTCCCTGGTTGGGAGGTTGAGGCAAGAGGATCACCTGAACCCCTGGGAGTTTGAGGTTGCTGTGAGCTAGGCTACACCATGGCACTCCAGCCAGGGCAACAAAGTGAGACTCTGTCTCCAAAAAAAAGTGCTTGTTGAGCTGCTCTGAGGACAAGGCAGTTGTATAACTGTTTGGTGTATTTGACAATCAGCAGTTAGTTCTTATCCACATTGACTAGATTTTTGGAAGTGGTAACATATGTAGGTGATCAAAGTATAGAAGTTATTTGGTGAATTTTCATCCTCATTACATTAATGCTAGTGGCCATTAAGTCTAGTGGGTTCTGGATTTTTAGCATCTGCATCAGCCTTTGTAGGGTTTGTAATGATCTCATCTATCTTTAACTTTTGAATTTTGTTTAAGTATTTGAGTGCCTTCTGTGGATCAGTGTACTTTTTTTCTGGTAAAAATTTTACATATATGCTTCCCCATAAATTGAATACTCTATGTAGATATATACATACAAAGGCAGGAAAATATAGATGGAATAGTAGAAATATATAAGTTATTCATAATTCCAAAATCCAGAGATTTCTATCTTTCCTATTTATTGTCATATTTTTAATTATCCAAAGAATTTCCAGTCAGTCACTTAATGCCCTTGATGTAGAAGGATAAGACAAAGTTAGAACATGTTTATTTTTTATTATTTTATTTTATTTTTGAGACAGAGTGTCACTCTGTTGCCCAGGCTAGAGTGCTGTGGCATCAGCCTCGCTCGCAGCAACTTCAAACTCCTGGGCTCAAGCAATCCTTCTGCCTCAGCCTCCCCAGTAGCTTGTACTCTAGGTGAATGCCACCATGCCTGGCTAATTTTTTCTATTTTTAATAGAGTTGGGGTCTCGCTCTTGCTCAGAGTCATCTCAAACTTCTGACCTCAAGCGATCCTCCCACCTCAACCTCCCAGAGTACTAGGATTACAGACGTGAGCCACCGTGCCTGGCCTAGAACATGCTTAAAGTCACTTTTTTCCATGAAATATATATATATATATTATTTTTTTTTTTTTTTTTGAGACAGAGTCTCGCTTTGTTGCCTAGGCTAGAGTGAGTGCCATGGCGTCAGCCTAGCTCACAGCAATCTCAATCTCCTGGCTCAAGCAATCTTTCTGCCTCAGTCTCCCAAGTAGCTGGGACTACAGGCATGCGCCACCATGCCCGGCTAATTTTTATATGTATCAGTATTAGTTGGGCCATTAATTCTTTCTATTTATAGTAGAGACAGGGTCTTGCTCTTGCTCAGCGTGGGTTTCGAATTCCTGACCTCGAGAAATCCGCCCGCCTCAGCCTCCAAGAGAGCTAGGATTATAGGCGTGAGCCACCACGCCCAACCAAGGAAAAATATTTTCTAGTATGTTTCAAGCTCCTGGTTTGGAATCTCCTCATTGACATCCTTTCACTTATTCTTAAAAAATTTCTTATCCAGGCCGGGCGGGTCCTGTGGCTCACGCCTGTAATCCTAGCTCTTGGGAGGCCGAGGCGGGCGGATTCTCAAGGTCAGGAGTTCAAAACCAGCCTGAGCAAGAGCGAGACCCGTCTCTACTATAAACAGAAAGAAATAATTGGCAACTGAATATAATATAAAAAAAAATAGCCGGGCATGGTGGCGCATGCCTGTAGTCCAGCTACCGGGGCTTAGGCAAAGGATCACTCGAGCCCAGGAGTTTGAGTTGCTGTGAGCTAGGCTGAAGCCACGGCACTCACTCTAGCCTGGACAACAAAGTGAGACTCTGTCTCAAAAAAAAAAAAAAAAATTTCTTATCCAGAGAGAGGAGAGCAGTATAGCTGCAGTTTTCTATAATTTACATCTTCCTGTGCCTTGCTATGGTCTAATTTTTTAATCTGTATGTATGACCTGAAAAATCAATTCTACTAAAAATATAAATAATGCCAAAGGGCAAGTTATGCTAAGGATGCATAGGAATACTACTATCTCAACTGACTAGTCAGTCAGGCTCCAAAATATCCCTCTTTGAATTTCCTAAGATTCTCTGCTTTTTTGTGATGCAAATGTTAATAGTTTTACCTTTTGTAGTGGATTGGCTTTTTTTTTTTTCATTCAACAAATATTTATTGTGTGCACACCATATGTCAGGCACCAGTAGAGACACTGGAGATATAGTAGTGAACTAAATAGACAAAAATCTCTGCTCTTCCGGAGTTTGCATTCTAGAAGTTGAGGCATGGACTCTGAAACCCAAAGTAGTTCATATCCAAGTTTCACCACTATTATTAGTTCTGTATGATCTACTGTCTCTAAAACAAGGACATTGGTGGCTTTGACTAGGTTAGCAGTGGAGGCAGCTAGAAGTTACCAGACTATACTTTAAAGGTAAAGTCAACAGGATTTACTGGCACATTTGGTGCAAGAAAATGAGAGAAATCATGGATGACTCCCAACATTTTTGTTCTGAATAACTGGAGGCCAGAAGTTGCCATTTATGAGCTGGGGAAGCTGTGGAGGAAATAAGGATAGGTTCTGCAGTGTTAACTTGAAGATTCCAATTAGACGTGCAAGTAGTAACTGTTAAAGTAATCTTGGAAAATGCTTTCCTGACGTCGTGCTTTAGACTAGAATATATCGTTGGAATGATACTCTATTCCTGCCTACAAGAATCCTCTCAATTTCCATAAACCTGTTTCCTCATCTGCAAAATAGGTTTAACAACTATCTCATAGGTTGTGAAGATAAAAATGTTCGTAAAGCATCTAGCACAATAGCGTCCAGTACAGCGATCAAATAACGTTCCTTCTTTTGAAGTCGAATTAGGCATATTTTGCATCGTGTAAAGAATTACTATGTCTAATAGAGAGGAGCCTTGAAGTTCTAATCCGGGTCTGCAAAGGCAAATTGGCAGCTCCGTCATGGTTTGGAAGAGAAATATGCAAGAAATTAACACAGAGGTTAGTGACAGGCTGCCCTGGCGACCACACTTCCCGGCAGCCCTCGGGCAGCTAGGCACCTTCGCGGATTGGACGACTCAGTAGGAGGCGGGTAGCGGGGGAGGGGATGGACGTGAGGCACTGTGGGTAGGAGACGGCCGTCGTAGGAGGCGCCATTTTGTGGAGCGGCCGAACCTTGCTGGAGGTTCTGGGGTGCAGAACCGACACGGCTGTTTCGGTCTTTCCTGGGGGTAAGTGTGGCGGCCGTCCGTAACGAGAGGAGGGTCTTGCCGTTGGGGCTGTCCCCCAAGCCTCTTTGTCAGCTGCCAGAGGCGGCTGATCTGCCCCAGCCGGTTCTCTAGAGGGGCTAAATTACCCGAGGCGTTGGAGGGCCGTACCCCTCCTTGCCTCCAACTCTGTCAGGTTCCTGAAGTTGCTCAGCTCAGCCCTGGAACCGCTTTTTTTTGGGCTGTGAGTTTGCCACTTGCTGGGACGCATCCCCGAACCCCCAGCCCAACGGAGCGGTGGAGTCGTCGCTTGTCCTTCGGGGCACTCCTCGGGAGCCCGGGCAATCTCTAGCCGCCATCGCCTATCAGCTGCATCTGAATCGCCCTCTCCGAAAGACTGTTCGGTGAGGGCTGATCTGCGGGCTAGGAATCTCTTGGGAGGCGGGAGGGGCGTGTGGAGGGACGGAATGCCGGACGCCTGAGTCTCTGGAGCAGGCCGTGGCGCCGCCATCTCGGCCGCGAGACCCCACAGAGATGGGTGCGGACACCGCCCAGTATACAAGGGGCTGCACCAGCGATTGGGTCCCGGGACTTATTTCCTTCTGATGATTCTCTTTCATTTATTAATCCAACAATTGTTCGTTGGACGCCTGCTTTAGACCAAGCTCCAGAGACGGCTGTAACTGATTTCTTGGACCTCGCTCGCATCAAACGCGATCCAGCTGTGCGATGTCTGTTACGGACAGGGTTGGGGTGGGGGAGCAGGCTGTTCGCCACTCAGAGGCCTCTGGTAATCGGGACTGGCTCAAGACGTGGTTACCGAGGAATTAAGTCGTTTCGAGGTTTGCGTTAGTCTGATTCGTTGCATTATACATGTAGTAGATTTCAGTCAGTTCAGCAAGCATCTGAGCTTCTAAGAGATTTTAAAACTTTCATCAAAATTTTTGAATTTCATGTTACCCTTTTTATTTAATGAAGACACTTGGATTAATGTTTTAATGATCAAGTGTCCCATTGGTGTTGCCTTGATTCAGAACCTAAGGAGATCATTGCAGCTTTGCCCTTTTGCTTTGTAATCCCAGAGTAGGAGCAGGAAAGGAGTCTTCTGCTCGCTTCTTTCTATGAGCTTGTTATTGAGTATGAATATTAAAATTCATTGAACGAATATTAAACTCATTCAACATTGAATATTAAAATCTTGTTTGTTTTTTTTTTTGAGACAGAGTCTCACTCTGTTGCCCATGCTAGAGTGCCGGGCTGTCTGCCTAGCTCACAGCAACCTCAAACTCCTGGGCTCAAGCGATCCTCCTGCCTCAGCCTCCCAAGCAGCTGGGACTACAGGAATGTGCCACCATGCCCGGCTAATATATATGCGTACATACATATATATATATATATATTTTTTTTTTTTTTTAGTTGTCCAGCTAATTTCTTTCTACTTTTTTAAGTAGAGGCGGGGTCTTGCTCTTGCTCAGGCTGGTCTCAAACTCCTGACCTTGAGCGATCCACTCACCTCAGCCTCCCAGAGTGCTAGGATTACAGGCGTGAGATCCCACACGTGAGATTCCCAACCTCAGTAGTATCCCAGCTTCTAGAGTGATTGACTTAAGTGATCTCTGAGATTTGCAGCAACCAATCTCTCTTGTTTCCTAGAAAATATAATATTTGAATCCTTTGGAGCTGTGTGCTAGATCATCGTCAGTGGGACAATGGGTTCAGATAAACGGTGAGTTACTACAGTACATGCCTTTGATCTCAATATTTCGGTGGGGTCTGAATTATTTGTTTAAAATTGTTTACTTATCAAACACATATTTGAGTGTCTGTTTTGTGCCAGGCTTTGCTATTGAGCATCTTCATGATCCTGCTGTCACAAACTGCAGTCTAATGAGAGAATGAAAGTACTGTGTGAGCATGCTGTGGTAAATGAAGTTTAGCGTGCTGTTACAATACATAGGAAGCATGTTTTTTCTTGTATACAGCCACGAAGGCTTTCTGGAGAAAGTATTCTTTAAGGCAGGCGTCCTCAAACTATAGCCCGCAAGCCACATGCGGGTGTTTTTGCCCATTTGTTTTTTTACTTCAAAATAAGATATATATAGTGTGCATAGGAATTTGTTCATAGTTTTTTTTAAAACTATAGTCTGGCTCTCCAACAGTCTGAGGGATAGTGAACTGGCCCCCTGTTTAAATAGTTTGAGGACCCCTGCTCTAAGGTGTAGCTGAAGGCTAATTAAGAATTAGGCAAAGGAGGGCAGGGTAGAGTGGGTCACCAAGGGTTCCCTGTGTGGACAACAGCTTTTACAGAAGCCAGATCATCATACATTCTGGCACTTAGCACAGTTCTTGGCTATAGGAAGCAATCAGTAAATGCCAGTTTGGGTTTTTGACCCCTGAATGGCAAGATGATCCAGACTTATACAGCTAAGAAGCTTGGGATCATGTATTACATGAAGAAAACAGCCAAAGAATTAGTGGAAAATTTATATGAGAGTATTTGGCTGCTATGTTACTTATGGGTACTTCCTTTCAGACCATTACATTTTAACACACAACCTTATTCAGCCAAGTGCCTTATTAGTATTGAGTCTAGTCCCTGCGATAGATCTAATTGACAGCCCAGAGGGACTTAGGAAATGTTCATGCCACATCATGTTATCCTTTGAATGCTGTGTCAGCAGTGTATGGTTCCAAATAACTTATTAAATTAACATTTACCTGTTAGAGTCTCTTAGTCCCATATTTCATGTTTCCTTGGGTTCTTTTTATTAAATTTATTTACTATAAATGAGGCCTTTATAAACCTTTCCTTTGTCTTGTGATTGCACAGTAGTTTTATGAACCTGGTAAATAATTTATGAAAGAACTATTTTATCTGTGGTGAAATGGGTTTAAGCCTCTTCCCATGAAACCCAGTGTTGCCCTGTCACCAAAAATAAACCAGATATTAGAGGAAATAATATCCTCTTACAGTATTGGTTTTGGGTAACCATCTAGTTTTGTCTGACAAAGTATTTGGTTAACTGCTTGATGGGAAAAAAAAGACTAACTTAGCTCATCAAAGCTGTTGGTCCATTTCCTAGTAGGTGTGATACCCTTGAGAGTGAATGATACAGAATGTGCTCTCCTTTGAAATTGGGTGAAATTTGAGTAATTGCTTTCTTCATATTTTTGGTTACTAACATCTGAATTGGAGATGAAGGAGATAATATGTAGCCTATAGGGTTGACAGAATGCAAGAATAAAGTTGGACGACATGACATTTTATTAAAAATATTCAACCCAAACATTTTCATGGCTGTATTTTTAAATTTAGCATACATTCCTGAGACTTATCTTTACATTTAGGGGTGTAGCTATTTTCCCCAGTAGTTAACTTTGTAAACTGGAATTGGTAATACATTTTAAGGAATACATTAAATTATTTGGGTATATCTTAAAAACTGATGGGGGAGGTGATGCATGTTTTTACTCATGTTTTCTAAAGGTACAAAATGTGGTTTACTTTAAATTGAATGAAAATTATTTTCCCTGGCAGAGTGAGTAGAACAGAGCGTAGTGGAAGGTATGGTTCCATCATAGACAGGGATGACCGTGATGAGCGTGAATCCAGAAGCAGGCGGAGGGACTCAGATTACAAAAGATCTAGCGATGATCGGAGGGGTGATAGATACGACGACTACCGAGACTATGACAGTCCGGAGGTGAGTGGCCAGCAACTGTTTATGGAGTAGTTAGAATTATGAATTTTATGTACAAGATTCTTAAAATGAAATAAGAATACCAAGTGTGGAAATATTTCCTCTTGAGTACTATATTCAAACTCTGTATTACTTTGTAATATATTTGAGTTGACTATAATTGCCAAAGATAACCTGAGACTTATGGTAATAGAAAAAATAACAAGGGTTTACATAGGTCTCACCACATACTCTTATGCACTTGACTTCATGAACTCATTTAGGTTTCACTATATAAGGTAAGTGTTGCCATTTTTAAAATGAGACAATGGGATTATAATAGTATATATACCCTGTTTCAGACTATTTTGAAATGAATAATAAATATAAATTATAATGTTTCAGTCATCTTAACATATCTTTTTTCTTTATCAGAAAATTTTGACAAAGAATATCTTAGCATATCTTTTATTTACATTCATTTCCATAAGCATGCATAGCTTGGTTAAAAAGTAATGCAACGGCCAAAAAAATTTAAAACGGTTTTTTTTTCCTTTATCCACTTTTCATGCATATGATCTTCATATAGGTAATGGTATTTCTTTCTATATTGGTGGAATGTACAGTACGTTATTAAACCATTTCCTGAACTAAATGGTTGTTGCTATTTTAGAAAACACTGCAGTAAACATCAATATGGAGTACTTATTTAGTTTTTGTGTGTGTTTACTTTCTTCCTAAGCATAATTTCTGAGAGTGGAGACCCTTAATCAGGGTACAGGGTAGTTTTAATTATAATTTTGTTTATTATAAATCAGAGAGAGCGCGAAAGAAGGAACAGTGACCGATCAGAAGATGGCTACCATTCAGATGGTGACTATGGCGAGCATGACTATAGGCATGATATCAGTGATGAGAGGGAGAGCAAGACCATCATGCTGCGCGGACTTCCCATCACCATCACAGAGAGCGATGTAAGGGGAAACGACAGTTCTAATGAACAGTCCAGGAGGCACAACAAACTTTGAGCTTCTATCATTTTCTCATGTTATTGTTTTATCTCAAGCTAATACAGGTTGTGAGTATTCCTTATCTAAACTAAAAGTGATTTGGATTTCAGATTTTTTCAGATTTTGGAATATTTACATTTATGTAATGAGGTATCTGGGGGATGAGACCCAAGTCTAAACATGGAATTCAGTTAATATTTCCTCTATACCTTATATACATATCCCAAAGGTAATTTTATATACTGGTTTTTTTGTTTTTTTTTTTTTTTTTTGAGAGACAGAGTCTCGCTTTCTTGCTAGGCTAGAGTGAGTACCGTGGCGTCAGCCTAGCTCACAGCAACCTCAAACTCCTGGGCTCAAGCGATCCTCCTGCCTCAGCCTCCCGAGTAGCTCGGACTACAGGCACGAGCCACCATGCCCGGCTGATTTTTATATATATATATTAGTTGGCCAATTAATTTCTTTCTATTTTTATGGTAGAGACGGGGTCTCGCTCAGGCTGGTTTTGAACTCCTGACCTTGAGCAATCTGCCAGCCTCGGCCTCCCAGAGTGCTAGGATTACAGGCGTGAGCCACCGCGCCCGGCCTATATACTGTTTTTGATAATTTTGTCCATGAAGTAGTTTTGTCTGCAACCTGTCACTTCAGGTCAGGTGTGGAATTTTCCACTTGTGGCATCATGTTAGTACTTAAAAAGTTTCAGATTTTGGAACAGTTTGGATTTTTGGACTAGAGATGCTTAACCTGTATCTCAGCTAGTGAAATGTTTTTCTGTCTTTATGGTGGAGTTCTCTGAACTTGGTTCAGAAGTAAATTACCATTTATATTTAGGCTTTGAAGCTGAGTGGTGTATTTTATGACGTTCCTTAACCACAAAGAGCAGGTCTTTTTTTTTTTTTTTTTTTTTTTCTTTTCTATATATATTAGTTAGCCAATTAATTTCTTTCTATTTATAGTAGAGACAGGATCTCGCTCTTGCTCAGGCTGGTTTGAACTCCTGATCTTGAGCAATCCGCCGCTCGGCCTCCCAGAGTGCTAGGATTACAGGCGTGAGCCACCGCGCCGGCTTTTTTTTTTTTTTTTTTTTTTTTTAATTTTAAGTTTTTTTTTTTTTTTTTTTTTTTTTCTTTCTTAACCATAATGAGAAACCTGAAAGGGAGCAGGTCTCATTCCTTCATAAGCTCTTAGAAGGTAGTCAATACTATGGTTTTTTTTTTTTTTGTTTTTTTGAGACAGAGTCTCGCTCTGTTGCCCTGAATAGAGTACTACAGTGGTGTTAGCCCAGCTCACAGCAACTACAAACTCCTGAGCTCAAGCAATCCTCCTGCCTCAGCCTCCCAAGTAGTTGGAACTACAGGCATGCGCCACCATGCCCCGCTAATTTTTCTATTTTTAGTAGAGATGGGGTCTCTTGCTCAGGCTGGTCTTAAACTCCTGAGGTTAAGCAGTCCTCCTGCCTCAGCCTCCCAGTGTGCTAGGATTACAGGTGTGAGGCCACCGTGCCCAGCCTACATTATTATTAGATTGGTTATTTATTTTAGATAAGGCTGTATCAATAAATATATAACTGTCTTCATAATCTGGCCTCCCTTTGATTTCTAGAAAACTATACTATCCCTTAAGCCTCAGAGAAACTTGTTGAAAAGGAAGGCTCGAGGCCAGGTGTGGTGGCTCACGCCTGTCATCCCAGCCATTTGGGAAGCTGAGGCAGGAGGATTTGCTTGAGGCCAGGAGTTTGAGATCAGCCTGGGCAACATAGCAAGATCAGTCTCTAAGAAAAAGAAAAGAATGGCTCATTCCCTGGCTGACTCAGACTGGCCAATGAGAGTCTTGGTGTATTTGGCCTGCCTGGTTTTGAACAACTCTGGCCCTCACCCTTTCCTTCCAACCACATCCACCAGCTGCTTCCCACTTTGGCCATGTCGTCATTATACCATTGTGCCTTTTTTTGCTTGGAGACTCCTTTTTGTGAGGCCTTTCCTGACCTACTAGGCAAAATTTCTTCTTCCTTATTCTCTTACTGTATTCATGACTTTTTTGTAGCATCTATACTGTAGATATCAATATGCATCTGTCTCATCTCCATAAGATCTCTGAAAACAGGTCTCTGTTAACTAGTCATCTCTGGGTCCCCAACCCTTGAACACAGTATGCTGCTCAGCTGATGTTGGTGAAATGAATGTGAAGTTTTAAAAAACTTGTTTTTAAAAGATGTAAATGCACAGCATTGTGCCAATATCTGTTGTCCTGGAATAGTCAAAGTAATATTCTGACTACTGTTCAGCTCAATTTTAGATAAAGCTAAAATTTTTAGTTTTCTTGATAAACCTGAAAATAAGTATCAGGTTTACACAGCTTTTAGTTTCTAAGCACTAGAAGTAATCAATGTGATGAATTCTGAGACAGAATGTTAAAGAGTTAATAATGATTAATCATTTCATTATTTGTGATCCACTACACACCTGCTATACTGTGTACTATATTAGGTGCCATGGTGATGCAGAGCCATGGATCCTGCCTCAAAATAGCTTAATTGATGAATAGCTAAGGTCAGACAATGGTGACAGTACAGACTAGAAAGGAATTGTTGAAAAGGTCCTGCTGAAGGGCTCTGGAAACTTATTTCAGGAAGGAAAGGGGCTCCATGGTGATATTAGTTCAACTAGTTCTTGAGGAGAGACGGACATGTTTTGGTCTGGTGGAGAACTGGGGGAAGGGTGTGGTGGATGGGCCTTCCAGTCAGGGAGGATCACATGAGCAGACCTGAAAGGTATCGAATCTAGATAAAGCCTAACAACTAGCTTGATTTGTCTGGAGTCAGAGACTTTTGGCAGGGGAGAGGTGGGTGGCAAGGTGCTGTTGGGGCTGGGGGCCAGTTTCTTTGAAAGCCCAGCTAAGCATAAAAGAAAGTTACTGAAAGTTTTGCCCAGTAGCAAAGGCTGTGCAGGTTAGTTAAAATGATGGGGGGGAAAGAATGGTGGTGAGTGGACAGGGAAGGTAGAGCTGAGCTCAGGTAATGGAGGCGGTGGGGAGTAGGGGATGCAAGAACTCCTACAGGAGTTGATTCAGGAAGGCTTGCTGATTGATCACATTGTCCCCTTGAGGAGGAGTCTGTGTGGCTGTGGCAGCCTGTGGAAGGCATGGGTAGTGCAAGGCCCTAATTGACTTTTGAGGGCCTGCCATAAGATTTTAATGCTGTGTATTTTAGGTTTCTTCAGGGAAGCAGAAGTGGTACCATGAAAAAGGCTGGTTTTCAAAATAGTATTTCTGAAGTTCTCAAATATTGGGCAATGTTCTTAGAGGATTTTCTTGTTGAGATCTTAATATTTGTAAAATGTATAAAGAACATCTGAAGAGAATGATTATTAACAGTCCCTCTGTTAAATAAAGTATCAGTCAGTTTGATATTTATCGATGATCTGGCAGACTTGTTTACCGAGCTGATACCCAGACATAGCAGCCTTACAACAAAGACTGGACTAAAAGAGATCCATGTGCTTCCTCATTGCCATCATCAAGAGGCTGGAAAAGAATTGTTAGAAGCATTAAGGGGATGAGATGGATGGATTTGGAACATAGGCATGTGTAGTGAGCTGTAGTAGAAGTTTTGGATTATAGTGTTCCTGTTTCCATTTTGTTTGCTACTCTAGCCATGATTGAATATATTAGATGAAATGTGAGAATGTGAGGATTTTGTTCAGTCTGAAACTCCCATTGCCCCCACTTTTTTCTTTTTAATTCTTTTTTTTCCTCTTGTTTTACTTAAGCATTTTTATGATGATTTAGATAGAAGTTCTTTAGCAGTGTTGGTTCTAGTCCTTCAAACTGTTCATGTCTTATAACATTAACTGTACTAACCCTTCTTCACCATAGGGTGGAAGGAGGGTAATAACACATTTTAGTTATGTTTTCAAGATAAAGTCTTAGTGAAAAATAAATAAATATTCTTTAATTATATTCCACCCCCCCAAAAAAATAAAACATTTTAAGATTAGAGTATTTAATCTTCTCTTGAACTTTAGTATATCACCTTTGTTATTCTGTTTCCCTTTTTTAGTGTATCCTCGCCCCCCCACACACACACATACACTGACAAGTAAACTCTTAGAAGAACTATCTATAGTTACTATGTCACTATATATGTTACTGTATCACTACCTTTATAGTAAGTATCTTTAATTGCTTTGGTGACTAACTCAAATTTACTGTGTTCCTAAGTATGAAGCTGAGTTTCTTGGTGCTGCCAGGTTCAGCAGCACTTTTGTGTGAGAAAATAGATACAGTTGATTCTCCTTATTAGTGGTAGTTAAGTCCCACAAAGTTACCATGAATACTGAACTATTGCTTCCAGGGGAAATACAGAGTTAGGTCTCTATAAGCCTATGGTCACAACATTTTTGTCAACTGATCAGTACGTAACCTTGTTGTATGTGTGTTTCTGTTGAAGTTGCCTTATTTAATATATATATATATACACACACACACACACACACACATATATATATGTATGTATGTATTATTGATTCAGTAATATTGAGCTCACAGCCAGCAGCACTGTAACTCATGCCTGAATGAAGTTTATAAGGCACATCACAGCCTTCTTGTGCTTAGGAAACTAGATAGCACTTGAGCACTATGCTTGGGGAGCCATTTTAAACAGCAAAATCTCCAACTAAAAGCACCAGAATATGACACTAGACACTTGTTTACTATGTGAAAGCTTAAACAAGGCAAAACATTGCTTTGTTAGATCTCAGCTGGAAACATATTTGGGCAACTCAAAATTTTCATGACTTCATGTGTTCAAGGACCATGAAAGTGCCACAAGTCTTGATTTGGGGTTACAGATTTTAGTTAGTAGGCAAATTTGCAAATGCAAGATCCAAGAGTAATGAGGATTGATTGTGTATGATCCTGCAACCTTTGTACCTAATGTAGGGGCCACTGAAAATCTCAGTTTCACAAATTTATCCCTGTTTTTTACCTTGGAGTATTGCTGCCTTGATAGGATTGATAGAAACTGTCACGCGTGCGTGTGTGTGCGCGCGCGTGTTTATCATTGCCTTTTGCAAAAAGGACTTGGTCTGACCTCTTGAATAGAATATTTTCTTCTAGGCCCAATTAATGTTTATTTTGATTTACTAGAAGCCTGAAAAATGTTATGAACTTTGATAATTTTCACCATTAATGTAAATGTAAGAAAATTATTTATTTTTTAAGATGTATAGAAAATGTTTATCTTGAGGGTTTGCTTCATTTTTTGGCTGTTGAATTTTTTCTTTTAACCTGAGAATAGATTTCAAAGAGAGAAAAGGCTATTCTATTGATTCTTGATCAGATGTACTTCAGAGGACAGTGACACATCCTCTCTTCCTATTTTAAATCAAATATTCTTTCTGAGTCTTTTAGATAAAAGAACAGTGAGATTAGACTAAAGAAGGAAGGCTTGAAGGACAATATACTATGAGTAAGGATATGTATCATAACATAAATTAATTGTACATAGGGAAATTCCCAGGGAATATATAATGAATGCCTTCAAGGCTATTATAATATATTAATTTCTGTAAGAAGCAGTCCCTCTTTTTTTTTTTTTTGCATGTTAGGATAATTGCATTTTGGTGATAGAAGTTTAAAACTTGGCTAATTAAACAGTTGATATATTCACACCTGTAATCCTAGCACTCCGGGAGGCCAAGGTGGGCGGATTACTCGAGGTCAGGAGTTTAAAACCAGCCTGAGCAAGAGCGAGACCCCGTCTCTACTATAAATAGAAAGAAATTAATTGGCCAACTAATATATATAGAAAAAATTAGCCAAGCATGATGGCACATGCCTGTAGTCCCAGCTACTCGGGAGGCTGAGGCAGGAAGATTGCTTGAGCCCAGGAGTTTGAGGTTGCTGTGATCTAGGCTGACGCCACAGCACTCACTCTAGCCTGGGCAACAAAAGCGAGATTCTGTCTCACAAAAAAAAAAAGTTGATATAATTTCCAATCCTTGAACTTTCTTCAGTATAGAATAGTGTGTGGCTGTAGCTTTAACTATAAATATGTAAAACCCTGTGCAGATTCGAGAAATGATGGAGTCCTTTGAAGGTCCTCAGCCTGCGGATGTGAGGCTAATGAAGAGGAAAACAGGTGAGAGCTTGCTTAGTTCCTGCTTTTCTGGTTCTCTTCCCCATTCCCACCTCAGTCCCTAAAGAACATCCTGATACCCCCAATCTTCAAGCACATGAATTCAGAATGAAAGGTTTGCCATGGCTAAGGAATGTGACTCTTTGAAAATGACATTAGCATCTGAGGAGCTTTTTTAAAACTTTGTTTTTAGGTTTTTTTTTTTCCCCCTTGGTAAGTAGTGATTTATAAACTCCTTTTTGACTGTAGTCGGTTGCATGGTTACTTTAGGTGTGAAATCAAATCAAGTGGCATTTAGTACAGGCGGCTGTTCCTTGCCATGGCAAAGTATCAAGAAGATCCCCAAGTCAAGTCACATTTGTAAAGCTGCTTCCCAATTGGCTTTGTCACGCAGTGTTGAAGCAGTGGGAGAGAGATTCACCTGTTATAAAGGAACTGACTAACACGAGTATCCCGTCTATATCTGAATGCTGTCTCTAGGTGTAAGCCGTGGTTTCGCCTTCGTGGAGTTTTATCACTTGCAAGATGCTACCAGCTGGATGGAAGCCAATCAGGTTGCTTCACTCACCAAGTCTAGATATTCATGAAAATGGAACAAGTCTGTACAATTTAAAACAAAAAAGGTTGAAGGAGTGGTTTGTTCCAAAGGAGTGACTTTTTAAAAAAAAAGCTTTGTATATATTAAAATTGAAATTACTAGAATAAATACAGTACAAAGGACTGTACTGGAGAATTTATTCTGCCTTTAAACATGGCTACCTACTCGGCAGGGCTTTGTTAACTGTTGAATACCTGTCTGGTAATTACCAAAGCATCTTAATGTTCCCATTTTCCCTACCTGATAATATTCTTATTCATTATGTCCACTGAGAGTAAGATTAGAATATCAAACTCTCCATTTGACAGTGAAGAAAACATAATGGAAGTCTGTGGCAGGCATTTTTATAAGTAATTCCTTATTTCTGTTTGAAGACCATAAGCCTCCTGGAGGCATAACTGCTCAGATGGGTCTTCAGGGACTATTTAAGGACCAAGTGGAATTTATGAACAATAAGTCTGATGAGATTAGCCTGGGAGCAGTGTCCTGCCGCTGTCTAATCTAATTAGAGTGGCATTAACATTCTAATCTTCCTGAGAATGCCTTTTATAGTCTCTACAAAGCAAATCAGGAATGGTTCTTTGATGTAGCCTTAACTGAAGTGTTCTTCAGTTTATTGAGATTAATGTTCAGTGCTTGGCACTTAAATAACATTTTTTACATCAACTCCAAAGCACAATAATTGAATGCCTTTAACCAAGTGCATTCTGGGAAGTTAGCTTGACTCATGATGTTGCTTTTGTGCATTATTTCATGACTGGCGTCAACTGTGAATAAGCATTATATTCTTTGATTGGTAATATTGTTTATAACAAGACTCACTAATTAGGTATCAGTTTGATTGACTGATTTGTTAAGATTTTTAAACCTCATTTTCTTAATCCAGAAGTCAAAGCCTGATCTTATAAAAGTAGAGCTTCATTCATTTCATAGCATGGATATCATCTTGGTAAATCCAGAACATCATATACAAGTTTCATGTGAGTCTGCTTTCTTGACATAACAGCATCTTTTGATGCAGTGGATATGTCTGAATGGCTAACCTGGGAGTTTAAAACTCCTCAGAAATTAAGACCTATAAGGCATTTAAAAGTCTCCACAATTTTAATGTATACAAAGCTATGTTAATGTGTAATACTTCATTACCGTTCAAATTCACTCCAGAAATAAAAGGCCAATAGGATTAGGGACTCAGTGGTAGTTTGGAGTTTCCCCCAACACATCCCTTCTAGTGGGATGATCTATTGACATATCTCCCACCTTCTTTATTTTTGCTTCTGTACATCACTGTGAGTGGATGGCCCTTCAGCTCTTTCCCTCTTGGCTAGACGTGTAGTCTTGCCTTAAGATATTGCAGAGACAAAATTTACAGCATGTCTTAAATCTTCCAGGATTTGCAAGAACCAAATTACTTGACAGTATGTATGTTTAGAGGGGTTAGACTCCTTTTTAAAATCTGGATATCTAACCTCCTACTTAAATCTGTTCTGATAGTGTCAGACCACCCCACCCACCCAACCCCCCAACAAAAAAGGAAAAGAAAAGATGCTCCTGTTAAATGAAGGCTCTTGGGGGGCAGGTGCTAGGTAACTCTTGGCTAGCCTGATTCAGCTCAGAGTTTTGACTTTTTAAAAGTTAAGTCTCTAAGTCACGTGGTTAACTTGAACGATGAGGTTATATATGCATTTATAAACTTTTCCTACCCCCCTGAAGAAACTTCATTGGCCTCCTGGTTACTCATCCTGAAGAGAATACCATCCATTTTAGTGAAAAACACATCTGTCACCTAGGACATCACATGGTTGCAGTTGGCAGGAAAAAAATCTCATTTAGCTGTTTTAGAGTTGGTGGCATTCAAAATAGTCCCTCCTGAGAAAGAATGTAACTAGATTCCCTTTAAAAATGAGTTCCCCTTTCTTTTCCCCACAAAGGACACATCCTGAAGCAGGAGTTTTGAGGGGAATGGGAAATATAAAGACTTTTACTTTGCATAAGGATGGGGACTGGGAAAAAAGTGAAGCGAAGCCCAAGGACACCATGCCAAGGGTTAAAGTAGGAGACAATCTCAGAACTGGGAGAGTTGTGTCTTCTACTTTTTGACATAGATTGTCATTCTCAGGCAGCCTGTAAATGCTGAATGTTAGGACTTCTGTCTCTCTCTGCTGGAGACACGGCCTGGTGCATGTCAGCGTTTAGTGTTTGGCAGCTTTCTCAGCACTCCCTGACTCCGTTTACCTTTACTCCGCATCCCATTCTCTTACTGCCTATCTGAAGGATTGGATGGGCAGAGTATAGGTGGCGGTGGTTGGTCCTCCCCGTATGTTGTCCATTTAATTCCAGAGCACTGATTTTTCCGAAGTGTGCTCTGCCCTGGGAAAATGGACACATGTTCCTCACAATGGGAATAACTAACTAATTCTTTTTTTACAGAAAAAGTTGGTGATTCAAGGAAAGCACATTGCAATGCATTATAGCAATCCCAAACCTAAGTTTGAAGATTGGCTATGTAACAAGGTAAGCATATGTTCTTCTCAAATAGACAAATCTCCTTCTGGATTTCGCTCTTTTTTATTTGTTTATTTCACTATCCAAACAAGGAAACTAGTAAGGACACAACCACCAGCTTTTATCATAAGGTAATTTTGTGCTCCTCTGCTGATATTGGAGGACAGAATCCTCAAAACTCTAGAGATTTTGTTATATTGAGATCCAGGTTTAAACTCAGACTTGGGGGGGAGGGGGGAAATGGGCATTTATTGAAACCTTAAAATCTGTACCCCCATAATATGCCAAAATAATAGATAGATAGATAGATAGATAGATAGATAGATAGATAGTAGATAGTAAATTGGGGGGGGGAATCCAGGTTTATAAGCCAGGGTTTCAATTAAGATTTTAGGTGAAATTAATTGGCCAACTAATATATATATAGAAAAAATTAGCTGGGCATGGTGGCACATGCCTATAGTCCCAGCTACTCAGGAGGCTGAGGCAGGAGAATTGCTTGAGCCCAGGAGTTTGAGGTTGCTGTGAGCTAGGCTGACGCCACGGCACTCACTCTAGCTTGGGCAACAAAGCGAGACTCTGTCTCCAAAAAAAAGATTTTAGGTGTGTTTTACTTTACTGTCTATTGAATTCTAGAGTGCTCACCTTTTGACATTATCTCTTAATTATATTAACAAAAATCCTGGAGAACCCTACCAGAGTTTTATAAGGTTTATTATGTTCCTGTAACTAATGCTCCATTTTGAACTTGAATGTTAACACCAATGTTAACATTAGTGTTTTGTTGTGTATGTGTGCCATGTCCAGTAAGGATGTAGACAGTATTTAGTTTACATTATGTTTGTGTATATAGAGTGATCCATATAGTACCGTGTTTCCCTGAAAATAAGACACAGTCTTATTTTTCCTCAAGAAGACACCCTAGCGCTTTTTTTTAAGTACGGTACAATAATCTACATTTATTCAAATACAGTTAAGTCATCATCTTCTGGAACATCATTATAACTCTCCTAACCCCGAATTCCATCCTGAATTTCTTGCGACGCCATATCCTTTAGAACCATTGGCCCCAATCTCTCATGTTGAGCAATAGAGCTCTTATGGGGCAGATGAGAAGGGCTGCTCGCTGTCTTTACTGCTCCGCGATGAAATGCATGGGTTGTGCAGATATACTGCGTAGCCACACCCATCACTGGGTCTTATTTTCGGGGTAGGGCTTATATTGTGCAAATGCTTAGAAATCTTGCTAGGGCTTATTTTATGGGTAGGCCTTATTTTCGGGGAAACATGGTACTCTTTTAATATAAGAAAGAACTTCACCAGTAGCTTTATGTAGAATAGAGTGAACTGAACCCTTTCCCCAACTTAATAAAAATGAATTCTACTTCAAAATATAAGATTTGGGCTGGGCACAGTGGCTCATGCCTGTAATCATAGCACTCTGGGAGGCTGAGGCAGGAGGATTGCTTGAGCCCAGGAATTAGAGGTTGCAGTGAACTATGATAGTGCCACTACACTCCAGCCAGGGCAACAGAACAAGACTGTCTGCAAAAAAAAAAGCTAACTTTTAAAAAGGACTTTAAAACTAAAACCTAGGCCAGACACCATGGCAGGAACCTGTAATCCTAGCACCCTGAGAGGCCAAGGCAGGAGGATCATTTGAGCTCAGGAGTTCAGTACCAGCCTAAATAAGAGTGAGACCCTATCTCTATTAAAAATAGAAAAATTAGCTGAGCACAGTGGCATGAGCCCATAGTCCCTACTACTCAAGAGGCTGAGTTAGGAGGATCTCTTGAACCTAGGAATTTCAGGTTACGATGAGCTATGATGATGCCACTGCATTCTACTCTGGGTGACAGAGCAAGACTCTGTCTCAAAAAAAAAAAAGATTTATTTTTCTTGAAAGAATGTAAATAATATAACATTCTGACTCTTTTTTTCTACCTGCCCCTACTGCTATCTTAGAGGGGACCAGGGGAGGGGCCAGGCAATATTTTTAATTTTTAGGTTATGTTTCTTTGACTTGGATACATGATATCACTTTCTGCTTTTTTTTATGTTAGTTACTGGAACTCACCCATGGTCCCATTGTTCTAACCACATTGTTACTAGAAAGGCTAGCCTAATTACAGATAAAACTTTTTTTTTTCAGTGCTGCCTTAACAATTTCAGGAAAAGACTAAAATGCTTCCGATGTGGAGCGGACAAGTTTGGTAAGCCTGGATTCAGCTCTTGGGAATATATATGCATTAAAACCTGACTGATTGGGTTATTATTGTCTGTGAACCTGAGGAAAAGTGTGGATTTTAGATCATTTAAATAAATAACTTGTATATTTTCTTTAAACCTTTTTCCTTAGACTATTAGATGCTGCTAATGATTGTAAGAGTACAAAAAGTTCCTTCATTTTCTAAAATTAAGTCTGCTCACCCGGTTTGCATTTTGTATCTGCTTTTCATTAGTGCGGGATAATGTCAGTCCTGGTCTGGCCCAATTTTTACATTCTACATTAACCATGTCAAAGTTAATGAGATTTTACTATAGCTACATATGTTTTAAAAGAAAAAAAGCACATATGACTGTCACATGTGCTTAAGGCCAGGTGAGGTGGCTCATGCTTGTAATCCCAGCACTTTGGGAGGCCAAGGCAGGAGGATTGCTTGAGGCCAGGAGTTCAAGACCAGCCTGAACAACATAGCAAGACCCCCATCTCTTAAAAAAATATATTTACTTTTTTTTTTTTTTTTTGAGATAGGCTCTCACTCTGTTGCTCAGGCTAGAGTGCAATGGCATCATCATAGCTCACTGTAACCTCCAACTCCTGGGCTGAAGTGATCCTTCTTCCTTAGCCTCCTGAGTAGCTAGGGCTATAGGCACATGCCTAGCTAATTTTTTTTTATTTTATTTTTAGAGTGATCCTCCTGCCTTGGCCTCCCACAGTGCTGGGATTATAAGCATGAGCCACCATGTCTGGTCTCTACAAAAAAAAATTTTTTTTTGTTTGCCAGGCATGGTAGCACATGCCTGTAGTCCCAGCTACTTAGGAGGCTGGGTCAGAGAAATCACTTGAGCCCAGAAGTTTGAGATTATAGTGAGCTGTGGTTGGGCCACTACACTCCAGCCTGGGCAACAGAGTGAAACCTTAACTCGCTTTTAATGTATTTCTTTAGTTGGTTGTTGTGCTTGTCTGTCTTCAATTTAATCTCCTTCCCTTCTTCTAGACTCTGAACAGGAAGTGCCACCTGGAACCACAGAGTCAGTTCAGTCTGTGGATTACTACTGTGATAGTAAGTTCACATATGATCTTTTGGCCTTTGTGTTAAAAGTTGACCTCAGTTGGAAATTTCTATTCTCTTACGCTTGTTTAAGGAGCAGTAGCAGTTTCAGGTTGTCCCTTAAAAGATTGGTTTTTAGAGTCTTTTTCATGTCAGAATGAAAAATATACTAAGAATCTCCCAAAATGGATTTGTTTATTTATGCTTGAACCTATCTTGAAAAGCATTGGTGGTGGGAATGCATGTATATGTCATTTGTCTCATTTACCCCCAGCAATCATTCTTCGGAACATAGCTCCTCACACTGTGGTGGATTCCATCATGACAGCACTGTCACCCTATGCGTCCTTAGCTGTCAATAACATTCGTCTCATAAAAGACAAACAGACCCAGCAGAACAGAGGCTTCGCATTTGTGCAGCTATCTTCGGCAATGGTGAGGTTCTTTATTTTTTTCAATGCTAACATTTTGCTCATAATTGGTGAGGTTCTTATCTAATCTTTCCTTTTTAAAAGAAGCAACTTTAAGAGACAAGTGTAGTTCATCCAGCTTTGATACTATATATGAGGCTTCTGAAGCCCATGCTTCAAGGCTACTTAATGGCAGTTTTTGCACTGCTAAATTACAGGATTCATTACTTCCATAAGTAGTAAAACTAATGTGTATACCTATCAAGAATTGGGGCCGGGCGCGGTGGGCTCATGCCTGTAATCCTAGCACTCTGGGAGGCCGAGGCAGGCGGATAGCTCGAGGTCAGGAGTTCAAAACCAGCCTGAGCAAGAGCGAGACCCTGTCTCTACTATAAATAGAAAGAAATTAATTGGCTAACTAACTAATATATATAGAAAAAATTAGCCGGGCATGGTGGCGCATGCCTGTAGTCCCAGCTACTCGGGAGGCTGAGGCAGCAGGATCGCTTGAGCCTGGGAGTTTGAGGTTGCTGTGAGCTAGGCTGACACCAAAGAATTGCCAGAACCGAAGTTTGAGCCACAGTTGAGTCTTCGATACTTTGTTTTTTGGTTTTTTTTTTTTGAGACACAGTCTCGCTTTGTTGCCCAGGCTAGAGTGAGTGCCGTGGCATCAGCCTAGCTCACAGCAATCTCAATCTCCTGGGCTCAAGCGATCCTGCTGCCTCAGCCTCCCGAGTAGCTGTGATTACAGGCATGCCGCCACCATGCCCGGCTAATTTTTTCTATATATATTAGTTGGCCAATTAATTTCTTTCTATTCATAGTAGAGACGGGGTCTCGCTCTTGCTCAGGCTGGTTTCGAACTCCTGACCTCGAGCAATCTGCCCGCCTCGGCCTCCCAGAGTACTAGGATTGTAAGTGTGAGCTACCTCGCCCGGCCTAGCATTTGTTCTTTTAATAATACTATATACCTTTGCCTCCTACAGAAAAGAAAGGTGTTTCTTTTCTGTTTTTTTGTTTTATTTTAAATAGGAAACTCTATTTCTTTGAATGGGGATAGGTAGCAGGGAGAGATTTTTAATTATATGACAAAATTGTTTTTCTTCACATTCTCCTTCAGGATGCCTCTCAGTTGCTTCAAATATTACAGAGTCTCCATCCTCCTTTGAAAATTGATGGTAAAACTATTGGAGTTGATTTCGCAAAAAGTGCCAGAAAGTGAGTGGCTTTATTTTCCTTATTTCACACTACTGCATGTGTATATTTGTCCAGAGATGCTTTGCTCTACCCCAAAGCCCATGCTCTCTACACTGAGACTCCTTCCTGGTTGCCAAGGCCAGGAGGGAGATACTTGTCTTTTAGAACTTATTCCCTCCTGTTCTCTATAACCAGCTGATGATGGTTGCCTAAAATGTTTTCAGAGCATGAGAATGGCAGGCATAGCAGATGGGTTGAGAACATGTGCTTTGCAAATGCAGCACTATAGTACAAACCCATGCAGAAATAATCCTTTCCTTCCAGAACTGCATGCTTATAGCTTCATGTATATAGTTCTTTTTTTTTTTTTTCCGGCATATTATGGGGGTACAGATTTTAAGGTTTCAATAAATGCCCATTTCCCTCCCTTCCCCCACAAGTCTGAGTCTCCAGCAGGACCATCCCCCATATATAGTTCTTTAGCACTATAAATTTCCCTTTTCTAGTATCATTGGTCACCCAAAAGATGCCTTACTAAATGGCAGGTTACAAAGTAGAATAGTGATACTACAGGGATACTTGTCCACTGATGAATTTGCCTATAAAGACCTCTCCCTCTGTGAAATGTTGCATTGCTGATAGTTAAAAACTGACAAAGGCTGGAGTGAATCACTGTGTCCTTGGCATTATGGGGGCAGTAATTGGGGGTATAGTGAGATAGAATCATATAATTGGATTTTTGTGGTTTCAGAGACTTGGTCCTCCCAGATGGAAACCGGGTCAGCGCCTTCTCTGTGGCTAGTACGGCCATTGCTGCTGCTCAGTGGTCATCCACCCAGGTAGTGACCTTTCCTGTGGTACTTGCAATACAAGGTCAATTGTAGGGAATAATTCATAGCCTCTTTCCTTGCTGTCCACTAAATTTGTCTTTGTTTCTCTTTGACATTTTGTAGTCTCAAAGTGGTGAAGGAGGCAGTGTTGACTACAGTTACCTGCAGCCAGGCCAAGATGGCTATGCCCAGTACTCTCAGGTAGGTAGATTTGACCAGCATCCAACCTCTAGCCTCCAGAGTATGTCCAAGGATAGCAGCTTTAATGGTGGACTTTTCTTCAGTACTCACAGGATTACCAGCAGTTTTATCAGCAACAAGCTGGAGGATTGGAATCTGATGCATCATCTGCATCAGGTAGTAAACATCATCTCCCTTTTACCTTTAGTTCAAGCAACTACAGCTGAAGAAATATTTCTAACTAGACCTAAAGCTAAAAGTCCATTTCCCTGCAAGAATGCAGGGTCATATTCAGGGTTGTCACCATGTGCCTAAGGTTCTGGGAGAAATTAGGGTTTTTCATGTACACCAAGAACTAATAGAATCTCTCAGAGACCGTGTCGTGGTGAGTTTTATTCTTGAAATTCAGCTCTGTATTTCTCCTCTCTGAGTGAGAAGTTTTGGTGCCCATGTAAGTTTAGGTGAACAGACAGGTCGTGTGGCCTTAGGGTGTGTTTTAGTTTTTGTTAAAGAAAATTATAAAAGCCTTATAGATAAATCTTTTCTCAACCCCACAGCAGATATGAATTTGTTTTTTTCCTTTTTTAGCCATTGTACAACATCCTTAACTTTGTATGTCACATTCTAGTAGGATTATAAAGAAAATGAAAATGTGATAGGTTCCAGGGTACTTAGTGGAAATTAGGTATGAAGAACTGACGTGCCCAAAGACAGAAGTCTATATTGGCATTACAGATAAAGATGTTTGGCTCAGAGTTCAGTGCTTTGTCTCTTCCTAACCCCTATGTTTATCATCAGGCACAGCAGTGACCACCACCTCAGCAGCTGTAGTGTCCCAGAGTCCCCAGCTGTATAACCAAACCTCCAATCCACCTGGCTCTCCGGTAATCCTCTTGTCTTAAATACAGAACTGGTGGCTATTGGGGAAACTTTGTTTTATTGTGCAAGTATTATCCTTTCCTACTGTGTGTGCCAGGATTGAATAATGCACATTCCAACCTTATTTCTCTGTGTCTTATAGTATTAGATAATCTAATGATTTGACTATATGTATGTGCATATATTTTAAATATAAAATTCCAAACAGGCTATATTTATACTTTCTGCATGCTTCAACTTGACATTTAGAAAGAAAGTTGTCAGCATGTTTTGCTGAAGGATTGCCTTATTACTGCAGTGTGTCTATCAGGGGAGCCCTTCTTCCTGGATGATTGCAGTGATTTAGTTCTCTTAAAAGGCTTTATGGTTGAAATTATATTGAAGCTGCTGTTCTTTCCAGACTGAGGAAGCACAGCCTAGCACTAGCACAAGTACACAGGCCCCAGCCGCTTCCCCCACTGGTGTAGTTCCTGGTACCAAATATGGTAAGCCAAACTGCATGGGGCTGTTGACAGTTGGAAGGTCCTAGTTGTTATTTTTGATTAATAAGAGTTCCTCTCCCTTTGTGGGTGTCAGAGGGACAGTTGGGGATGTGAGAGAAAGAACATTTAGGCCAACTATATCTCACTGCTTCAGAATTTGTAAAGTGAAGCCAGTTTCTCACTGGAATGACTGTATGCTGGATTTTGTTTTTGCAGCAGTACCTGACACATCCACTTACCAGTATGATGAATCTTCAGGATATTACTATGATCCAACAACAGGACTCTACTATGACCCCAACTCACAAGTAAATGCAATGTTTTCTCCCTTGATTTTACTAGAAGTATCTTAGTTTCACTTAGTCCATTTGTCAGGCGTAAAATGAAATATTGCCTCAAAGGAGGGCATGAACCAGATTAGTTTTAACTTCCTAAAAGCCACCAAGATGAAATTTTTATTTTGGGATTTAAATCTTAAGGTTAAAAAATGTTTTGTAGTGCATGCATTTCTGAGAAAAAAAAAGTGAAAAAAAATGTTTTGGCGTATAATGTACATACAGAGAAATGTACAAGACTAAAATGCGCAGTTCTTCGAATGTATAACATGTATAAACATTCATATATTTACCACCACTCAGAAAGAACATTCCCAGCCTTCCTGATCCTTATGTCCCTTGCCTGTCAGTACCTTCCCCCTTTAGTAACTACTATTCTGATTTCTATTACCACAGATGATTTGCTCAAGTTAAAATTTATGTACAGGCCTAGGTAGAAGTTTTAAATTATAGAATTGTAGTTTTCTCCCTATAAAGTGCTCTATTTTAACCATTTGTAGTGGTTAGTGTATAATTCCATGGTTTTTAGTGTATTCACAGTATTATGTAACTGTCACCACTGCCTAATATCAGGACATTTTTATCATCCCAAGAAGAACCCCTGCACCTATTAAAGCAGTCACTCCCCACTCTGTTGTCCTCCTTAGTAACCACTACTCTATTTTCTGTCTCTATGGGCTTGCCTGCTCTTGACATTTCATATAATAGAATCAAATAATATATGATGTTTTTTGTTTAGCATCTTTATTTAGCATCCCTATATATTCTTGAGGATAGAATTTAGCAGATCTATGGAGTGGTGTTTTATTTTTGGTGGTGTATATAACTTCCAAAAAGGAAAAGCAATTTTAACACTCCATAAATAAATAACTATGAGCGGGAACTGTATATATAGAATAGTAAAATAAGTAGTTTTAACAGGAACTTGGCATTAATACCTTGTGGCTTCTGAGAGAATGAAGTGTGAAGCCATGTGCAACCTGCCTGAGCAGGCTGAGCCTCTGCATAGTTCTTCCACTTCTCTCATTTGTGAAGTCTGGCTATTTCTCTGTCAGTTCTCCTTGGTGGCCCTAGAAGTTGTGACTTGTAGGTCTGTTACCCACACTACTTTCCCCAGAAGAGAGGTAACCAGTCTCTTGATCTCTGTTAAGCAGATAGAGTGAGTGGATGGGGAATAAAGAAGAGGAGAGGATAGGTGATACCTTTCCTGTTGCAGTTGAGCTCAGCTGCCTTCACCAACACTTACTTCCAGTCCCTGAGCTAGTGTTTACACCCTATGTTTGGTTGCCTGGTTGTCCAAAACGTTCTATCTGGATGAGCCAAATGATGACCTGTTAACTGTTTGTCATGGAGGATATGTGATCTCCATGACACATCCACCTGTTCTGGCTACCTGGTTGGTGTACACTGTCTATGAAAAAGAGTGAGACACATTGTTTGGGTACCCTGTAGGTATGAACAGAGATTAAATTAATAGGAACTAGACTTCTTGAGAAGAAACTGTATTCAACTTTTACCCTAGAAGTTTGACACCTTTGCTAGCTGGTCCATCATCCTTGCCTATACCAAGGTGTACAAAGGGTCCTTTCCAGGCAGGAAATACCACTAGTCCACAATGTATTTTATATATTTATTTTTGACAAAAACAAACCTTCAACTTGCTTTTTCAACAAAATATTTCTTTTTTGTTTAACATAGCAGAAAGTCTACATTCATTGTATTTTTTTATTCTAGTATTACTATAATTCCTTAACCCAGCAGTACCTTTACTGGGATGGAGAGAAAGAGACCTATGTGCCAGCTGCAGAGTCTAGCTCCCACCAGCAGACGGGCCTGCCTCCTGCAAAAGAGGGGAAGGAGAAGAAGGAAAAACCCAAAAGTAAAACAGCCCAGCAGGTAAGAATATGACCCATATTTCTCTTTTTGGGATATTGGCTTTAATTCTTAGTTTTGGAGTTATGGCATTTACGTCAGCTTTATTTGGATTCTTACAAACTGGACTATACATTTTCTTTACATTAAGCTCTTAAAGCATTTTGCAATTTCTTATTGTTACCATATATCATCTGTTAGTTTGCTTATGTACTTAGAAAAAAGAATCCTAGAAGAATCAGAGTCCTTCAAGCTGTATTCATGAATGACTTTGATTGTGTGTGATAGCATTTCATAGGAATATTTATAGGTAAAAGTGAGAGTAAAAGGTGTTTTGTTACAGAGAATGTGGTCGAGATCCTTAATGGCTCATTGTCATGGCAGAGGGGACTAAATGTTTATTGGTGGTGTTATTTGATATTAGATCGCCAAAGACATGGAACGCTGGGCTAAGAGTTTGAATAAGCAGAAAGAAAATTTTAAAAATAGCTTTCAACCTGTCAATTCCTTGAGGGAAGAAGAAAGAAGAGAGTCTGCTGCAGCAGATGCTGGCTTTGCTCTCTTTGAGAAGAAGGTAATAGCAGCAGGAATGGCCAATACTTCATGATGGGAGCTTACATAGAACCTGAAGCTTATGGCTTTTTCTCTGTTTCCAGGGAGCCTTAGCTGAAAGGCAGCAGCTCATCCCAGAATTGGTGCGAAATGGAGATGAGGAGAATCCCCTCAAAGTAAGGAAGTACCACCAGTGTTTTAAAGATGGTATCTGTGGTTTGTGTCTCACTTTGAGTCTCAACTGCAACTTGGCTAATGTAATTCCTGCTTAAAACTGAATGTAGTCATTGTCAGTGGGTATTTGGAACAATTCCTGCACATATAATCCACGTTCAGAGCTTGATTTTCTGTGTGAGAAAGCAGGTGAGATGGAGTAATGAATGAAGCCCAAAGTCCTAAGCTCAATTGAGTTTCATTGCATCTATGAATAATAGTCTGAGTTTTAATGGTCTGGAAAGAGAAGATTAAGACAAGAAAAAAGCTAATTTTACTTGATAGCTACTGGTCCAGGTGGGCCATTACTCTCGTCTGTTGTATTTGGGATTATTATACACGTTCAGTGGTTTGAAAACAGTCACCCAGGAACCCATTTCTTGGGCCCCAAGAAGGCTGATACCAGGAGGCTGTCAGGCGCAGCACTAAAGGACCTGACTGCTCTCTGCAGTTGATGAAATGTGATTCAGTACTAAAGTACGGAATTAGTATTGGGGATCTCTGACATTTTGGATTAGGCAGTATTTTATCTAGGTATATAGCCATCACTATCTTCCTGTTGAACATTTCCAACGACTGCCCTCTTTTTGTCCCCAGAGGGGCCTGGTTGCTGCTTACAGTGGCGACAGTGACAATGAGGAGGAGCTAGTGGAGAGACTTGAGAGTGAGGAGGAGAAGCTGGCTGACTGGAAGAAGATGGCCTGCCTGCTCTGCCGGCGCCAATTCCCAAACAAAGATGCCCTGGTCAGGCACCAGCAGCTCTCAGACCTGCACAAGGTGGCCACACTTCTCTGGGCTGATCCAGGTTGGGAGGGGAAGGTGATGAGATGATATGAGTGCCCTCACTGTGGTGAAGGTTTTTAGTAAATACCTGCCGTTGAATGATTGCCTTATAGAACGCTCTTCCTGATAATAGAATGGAGAGGAGTGTGGCAGCTGGTTTTTCTGCAGTTGTGTACGGTTGGGCTTTGGCTCTCAGAATGTAATAGATGTTGCTAATGTTATGACATTTCAAATTAGGATGGTCCAAATTCTTACTGTGTCTGTAAAATCTTTTGTATAGCAAAACATGGACATCTACCGACGATCCAGGCTGAGTGAGCAGGAGCTGGAAGCCTTGGAGCTGAGGGAGAGAGAGGTAAATGGGAAACAATGTGCCACTAGAGAGAATATATTGGGATATCTCTTCAGCTTTAGCTTGTATTTGTAGCATTTACCCTAGCCCAGGGTCAGGGTAGAAGGATTTGTCGCACTTGTCACCCAACCATTATAACTCATATAAAACCCAGGCTATATTTGCTTGCGAGCTTTACACTGTCCCTTGATCACAAGGGTGCACAGAAGCACAGCCTGAACACTGCTCACTCAGGTCCTGAATGCCAGACACTTGCTGGTGAAGTATGCTGGATCTTGTTGAGAAAATGCTGTTGTTTGGCCTGGCCAGGGAAGCCTTCATGGGCAATGAGGGAGGATTCAAATTAGGCTAAGGGGACAGCAGAGCATGAAGTGATTACAGATGATACAGAAGGAAGGAGTGGGTAGGACATGGTGAGCAGGTCTAGGGGCAGAGGCAAGAGAAGCCTGTGACACCAGTCATGGGTAAGCAGTTGGTGCTGGTGGTGGCTGAGGCAGGCTGGGGGCCAGGCATTCAGAGTTGTAAATCCAAATAGAGTCCTGTGGCTAAGAAGTGAACCAGTGGGTTAGAAATTGCCCGCCCTGAGATAATTCAGCAGTATCTGTAGTTGAGGCTTTTGCTTTTTGTTTTTTTCCTTGATGTTTATGGTTCCAGCTCCCCAAGGATTACAGAATAGGTATCTGGAAGCCTCCATGATGCTCTCTGTCCCTGAGATGGGCCTGACTAAATGCTGAGTACAAATGGGCAATTCTGCCTTCCTCTTCCTTTTGGACCTTGGCAGGCTATACTCACGGCCCAGCAGGCTAGTTGAAGAGCTTGACAAGTAGTGGCTAATTAAATAAAACTGCTTGTTGGAGACATAGTTTTGCCCCTGGTTCCACACAGAGTTCATCTCTACAAATTGGACATTTTAGATATGACTTAAGTGTGGTGAGGGAAACAAGGGGATTTGGTATTTCAGACCAGTCCAGAAAAATCAAGCTCCAGATTAAAAAATACTTGAGGTGATAGTTTGGAGGAATTATGTGCATTAAACTGTTACAGATTGAAGTCTGTGAATATTTCTAGCACTGTTTTTTTCTCGCATAGATGAAATACAGAGATCGAGCTGCAGAAAGACGGGAGAAGTATGGTATTCCAGAACCTCCAGAGCCCAAGCGCAAGAAGCAGTTCGATGCTGGCACTGTGTATGTGACATGCACATTTTCCCGTTCATTAGCCAGGGCTCTGGCTCTTTATTAAGTAACTGTGTGTTTGCCACTGGCAGGAATTATGAGCAGCCCACCAAAGATGGCATTGACCACAGTAACATCGGCAACAAGATGCTGCAGGCCATGGGCTGGCGGGAAGGCTCTGGTTTGGGAAGAAAGTGTCAAGGCATCACAGCTCCTATTGAGGTAAGCAGTAGGGCCAGGCTACAGTGGACATTAGGGTTACAGGCTTGTTACAGAGATTTGATGAGATAAAAGCACCAAAAGGGTCTGGGACTCAGGAGCAGCTTTACCACAAAGGGGCAGTGTCCTTAGCCAGGTGATATCATTGCCACTAAGTGAGATTCTTGTTCCCGGCAGCCCTCCCTTCACCTCGTTTTAAGATGTCAGGTAGAAAGAATGGATATGGGTTCTTGATTTAATTTGTTTCTGAGTGATTTTGTTTTGTTTTGTTTTTTGAGACAGAGTCTTACTCTGTTGCCTGGGCTAGAGTGCCATGACATCAGCCTAGCTCACAGCAACCTCAAATTCCTGGGCTCAAGCAGTCCTCCTGCCTCAGCCTCCCAAGTAGCTGGGACTATAGGCATGTGCCACCATGCCCAGCTAATTTTTTCTATATAGTTTTAGTTGGCCAATTAATTTCTTTCCATTTTTAGTAGAGACAGGGTCTCGCTCTTGCTCAGGCTGGTTTCGAACTCCTGACCTTGAGTGATCCTCCTGCCTCGGCCTCCCAGAGTGCTAAGATTACAGGCATGAGCCATCATGCCCAGCCTTTTTATGTATTTTTAAAAATTACAATTTAGTAGGATTTTTTTTTAAGAAACTCCTAAATTGGTCAGATCCCAGGTGGAGACATAATCCCAGGATTGGAGACCTCTACCCACTGGCTTTCTATGCCAGAGCTCCACCAATGATTGCCCCCACTCTGTCTTGGCAGCACAGCTTGGGTCAGACTCTTACAGATGATGTTTGTCCTGTACGTGTGAGTTCTGGGGACATCAGGCTGTCCTGCTATAATCTGTGCCTACAATTGCCAGGCCTTCGCCGTGCTTTGGTGGAGTGCTTTGCTGAGCAGGCATTGAGGGGTCAGGGATACAGCTTCATCTGCCTGTATTTCTTAGCCCATTTTATTTCTTCAGTCCTCACACCTGCTGCATGTCTCCAGTGTAGACATCCTCATCTTCATATAAAACTTCCTCTCGTGACTTCTGGTGGGTGGTCCTGCTTGTTAAAGAGTGGGCTTGGTGAGAGGTGGGAACAATCCATTTCCTACCTGCTAGCTGCTGACAGTCTTTGTATTCCCCCAGGCTCAAGTCCGGCTAAAAGGAGCTGGCCTAGGAGCCAAAGGCAGCGCATATGGGTTGTCAGGTGCTGATTCCTACAAAGATGCTGTCCGAAAAGCCATGTTTGCCCGGTTCACTGAGATGGAGTGAGACTGAGAGAGAGATGACAAAAAGCGCAAGAAATGGTCCATTTCCTGAATTTACTCTTAATGCCTGTCTCTTTAAGGGCATGCCTTGAGCTGTTAATAGTCCTGAGGATGAACCACTTCATTCTGCAGGGTTCTTCCTCCCACCTTAAAGGAGTTCCCCTAAGGTGGGTTATCTGGTGAATGGCCTGTCTTCCCCCCAGAGGGTTTGTGAACAGACCAGAGAGGACAGTGGGTTTTTATACTTCGGTGTACATAGTGTAATGTAATGTTTTACATGTGTAGCCTATATTGTGGTCTGTCAGCTCCTCACATTCTGGGAGGTGTTGAGATGCCCAGGTGGTATGTGACACCAAAGCCACCTCTGTCATTTGTCCTAGTGATGTCTTTTCTTGGCAAAAGCCTTATGTATATTTGTATATTACGCATTTGTACAGAATTTTGGAAGATTTTCGGTCTAGTTGCCAAATCTGGCTTCTTTACAAAAGAAATACCTTGAAAAATGTGTGTCCCATGTCTCTTTATTCTTGGGTGAGTGGGTAGGTAAAACATGCCTAAGCCAGTCAAGCCTCGTAATGAAATCAGTTTTGTTTTTAGGAAGTAATTTTTTTTTTTTTTTTTTTTGAGACAGAGTCTCACTCTGTTGCCCGGGGTACAGTGAGTGCTGTGGCGTCAGCCTAGCTCATAGCAACCTCAAACTCCTAGGCTCAAGTGATCCTCCTGCCTCAGCCTCCCAAGTAGCTGGGACTACAGGCATGTGCCACCATGCCCGGCTAATTTTTTATATATATTTTTAGTTGGCCAATTAATTTCTTTCTTTTTTTTTTTTTTTTTTTTTAGTAGAGACGGAGTCTCGCTCTTGCTCAGGCTGGTGTTGAACTCCTGACCTTGAGCTATCCACCCGCCTCAGCCTCCCAGAGTGCTAGCATTATAGGCATGAGCCACCTTGTCCAGCCTTTAAAAAGTTATTTACAAGTAATATTTTAAACTATTTCCTTGCCCATTGTCGTGTTCAAATTTTGAAGTTCCAGAGTTCAGCATGCTTTAAAACTCTTCATGGAAGCTCAGCCTTAACCTGAGTGAGCTTTTCCACTTCCTTCCAGTTTCTTTTTCTTTTTTGTGGACCCTCTAGCTCTGTGGCCCCTAGTAGATCGCGGTAGCAGTGGCCTCCTCATAGCTCCCTGCAACCTCAAGCTCCTGGCTCAAGTGATCCTCCTGCCTCAGCCTTCTGAGTAGCTGGGACTACAGGCACGCACCACTGTGCCCAACTAATTTTTCTGTTTCTAGTAGAGAGGTCTTGCTCTTGCTCAGGCTGGTCTGGAACTCCGGAGCTTTCAAGTGATCCTCCCACCTTAGCTTCCCAGAGTGCTAGGATCACAGGCGTGAGCCGCTGCACCTGGCCTTCCAGTTTCTAAAGACCAAAGTGAGTGTGAAGATGACCAGTGCTTCTCCAGTTTTCACAGACTATATTCCAGACTTGTCAGGGGAAGGAATATTACTGCTCTGCAGGGCAGAAGCTCCCTGCTTTGGCCATTATATAGATGGTATCTGGTCCATCCTTCGCTGGGATGGAGGAACTGAGGCGGCCATCTCTCTCCCTGCAGCACTCCACTTACCTTCTGTCTTAGCTGCTAAGGAGGTGTGTGCTCAGGGACATTGCAGGGTTTTCTGTTCTGAATGGTGTCATTTCATCCTTGTCTCCAGCACCAGGGTGGAGAACATCACTTGACCAATAAGATCATGCTTGACAAGGGCAGGAAGTGTGTACCTAAGTCTCAGGCTGCTCTTGGGACCTGGTGATGTGATCACACTGCCATCTGGCCAACTTGAGTACTCACAGATTTGTGATAGAGTCAAGAAGGGTGGCCTTTTCTCTCCAACCTGTACTTAAAGCCAGACTCCATGGCTTTAATGGATGGTCACATTTTCCTGTTTTCATGCAGACCTAGCCCTTAAAAGATTGTAATGGAAAAATATGGCTAAGGGGAAGCTTTGAAGGTACAGGTCCTCACCCTATCTGGCCAGGTGGTGCCTTGGAGAGGTTGAGCCCAATCACAGCTTTGCTCCGGTGAGGTGGAGGCAAATGTGGAAGCCCCAAGCTTGGGTTTCTGCAAAGTAAGGCTTGGGAACCTCACAAATGAGGTCCTGAGTTCCCAGAACTGGGGTGAGGAATGTGTCTCACAGATTGGGTCTACTTGGTATCCCTGGGGAGAGGAGACCAGCCCCACCTCCAGAGGCCTCGTAGCTTGGGAGATGCTGGTGCTTGCACCTGAGCAGCAGTCGCAAGTATCCTAATTAGATGCATCTGACACCCAGCCTAAACGCCTCTTCCAGGAGAGCATACACACAATGGGATCTGGGAAGATCTTAATTATATCCATTCAGCTCATCAAAGGCTGAGTGGAAGCGTCTTCCCTAGGGGAGCCACAGCCAAGCACTGACAAGAAAGCCATCCCTCTGTCAGCCATCTTGAGCCTCAGATTGACTTCCCCATACCAAGCAGGGCACTTGAATCCACCACACTTCTTGGCACCTCTGTAAGCTGCTCAAGGCTGCTCCCATGATGACTGCTCTGGGCCACAGCATCTGTCAACATCCACATGGACTTTCCTAAACATAAGGGCCTAAGCTAGCCATTCAGAGAAGATGGAGGCTCCTTCTCCTGCTTCCAGCCTGCTGCTCCATAGCCGTAAATGTTAACCAGCATACCTAGCCAGGTGCTGCAGCCCTCACCCTACATCTAAACTGATGGCCCCAGATCTTGAGGTTTGACAGGCTATATATGTAACTTGGGCTCAGGTCTCTTGCAAGACCGTATTTGGGAGATCCTACTGGTGCTGAAAACCCATGGTTCTAAGTGTCCCCCCATTGGCCTATTAGGGTCTGCTCCAAGCCCAGGGATGAGTGTTCTGCCTTGCCCTGCCCATAGGGCTGCTGTTTCTCCTAGCCATTACTGATGGGGTGCTGCATGATCAGTGCAAACTTCCCAAGCAGGGAAACCCAAATCCCACATTTGACAGGGCCTCTTGATGAACTAGAAGGAGACTACAGGGTTCCCAAGTCCAGACTGCCCTTGGCCAGGACAGCTGCTACAATGTGCAGGGCTTTGAGAGCTGTCCAGGAGCAGCTGTCATGGCCATGCATCAAACAAGTTTCCAAAGCCCAGCTGAGCGGCCAGGCCTGAGCTAAGCTCCCCCGGCATGTACAGTCTGGCTGGGGGGCTCAAGGGCGCCCGGAGCCCAGCCTGATTCTGGAGGGACGAATACCCTCAGAGACAGGTGGGGTGTGGGGGGAGACTGCCCAAATACAGGACCCTGGAACAGTGTTGTGCTGCCTGTGGCCACCAGGTGGCAGCACTCCATCATCTTTCTGGCCAGGTTGGTTTAGGTGGAGTTAGTGGGAAGATGTCCCACAAAGTCCTAAAGTAGTGGAGGTTCCCAGGGTCTCTTCCCAGGTCTCTGAGATTTAGGGAGACCTGGTTAGAACTTGGGCCTTGAAACTCTGTGTGGAGCCAGGCAGGTGCCAAGTCTGCTGGCCCTGCAAGTTCCTGAAGGTCCCCTACCTCCAAGGACTCTCACTGGCTGGCTAGAAGGGGAAGTTGCCACCACCACACCCAGCTGTGGAGCAAGGGCTCCTGACCCTGTGCACAATAATTGCTTCAGTCTCAGCAATTCTTTCTGACCCACGTAAATAATTTCTGTGGTCGATGAAGCTCATTTCTGCCTCTCATGTTCTACCCATCGTGTGATTGACTCACAGAAATACTCTCTTAATAGCCCCACATCAGACCCACAGCTTCTGTCTCTACAGCCCAGGGGAAGTTGGAGCCAGACTTGTCCAGCACTCTCAGATGGAATCAGGGGATGCCTATAGTCCCTCACCCCAACCTCCCAAAAGGTGGCAGGAAAGGAGTGAATCCATGAATGTGGGTTGAGGTCACAACACTATCAGGAGTGGGCCACACCTAGCCAGAAAGAACTTTACAGCAGGAGGCACAGGCCAGGGGCAGGGCCATTCCATCCTGCTAAGTCCAAGCACCACTTTCATCATCACAGGAAACTGAGGCTCAAAGCAGTTGCTGGGGTCACCAGGCTGGGCTGCTGCTGGTGAATGCTGCCCATGGGACTTGGTGGAGATGAGTCCCTAGCTGCAGGCATGAGGTCAGGCTCCAACACGATGCACTCCAACCCTAGAGAGAGCTGGGCCTTGGGATGCCCCCCAATGCCCTGGGGAGACAGAGAAGACAGACTGGGAGAGGCAGGAAAGAAGACAATTGGAGACAAAGAGCAAGGCCTAGAGGATGCATGGGAGAGGAGCTGGAGAGGTCTGCAGTGGCCACAGCAGTGAGAGGAGGCTGAAGGAGCAGGATACCATAGGGCAGAGGGGTCTGGGGGAATCGATTCCACCATTGCTGCTGAGACAGGACAGCTGAGCTACTTGGGGTGAATTCTGCATGCTGATGTGGGAGACAGGCAGGTGGGTGAGAGAGGAGAGGCCAGGAGGCCTGGCCAGGACCTTCTGCTGCTTTCCTGTGCAACAGAGGCCCTGGGAGCCCCTGGGACCCAGGGTAGGCTCCCAATTCCAAGCAGGCATCACCATCCCTGAGTCTGGCTTGACAGGAGCTATTTGAGAATGATTCATGGATACAATTAAGCCTTCCCCACCATCCCCTGCCTTGGGCCTGGAGGTGGGGCAGGTGCAAGTGTAGGAGCCCTCCTCCACCGACCCTGTGGGTTTGCATTCAGCCTACGGCCCCCCAGGTTCAGCACAGCCCACTGTGTAAGGATGCCCAGTGGATCCACAGGGCCTGGAACAAGGCAGGGCTGAGCTCAAATCTTGAGGGGCACCAGGGCTGGGGCTTCCTTCCCTTCCTCATCTTCCTCCACCCCTTGGCTGAGTGGAGGAGCTGCCTTCCATAATCACAAGCATGCAGTATGGACACGTGCACATGCAGGCACAGGCTGGTCCTGATAGTTATCCAGCCGCAGCAGGCAGCATGCGTGTTTCCCCAGCACCCTCACCGTGTCCAGGGGCCCCACACACATCCCCTCCTCCCCAGTGGTGCATGGAGCGTGCACGCTCGTGCTTACCTGTCCCCAGCCCCTGGCACATAGGCAGGCACACACTGGCCAGGCACAGTCTTGAAAGCTCACCCCTGCATGCAAGTGCACCCTGGCTCCTGCCCAAGGGGGCAGGAATCGGATGCTCTTGCAATCTCCAAGGAAGGAAACCTGGTCTGGCAGCTGGCTGGAAGCTGGGAAGAGAGAGGGAGCCCCCAGGGCCACAGCACAGCGGAGCACAAGCCACCACCCAGCAGGCACACCCTTGTGCACACAGTCACTGCAAAGCTCCCCCTTTCCAGGTGGGTGGATCTTGGGGGTTTCTACCCAGAACAGGCTCCTGCGCTCACTGAACAGGTCCAAATATGCCGGCCACTGCTCAGCTTTAGGGTTGAAAGGCAGAGCTGGATGGGGGAGGGGAGACTGAGGAAGGGGCACCATGGTC